AATCTAGCCTCTTATGAAGACTTCATATGACCCAGCACCTGTGAATAGAGGACTCCAGATACAAAACGACTTTATTGCTTTAAAATGTACACAAAGTTTGCTTAAATGCATATATGGTATTTGTAAATACTATAATTTGTACTAGACTTCAACTGTTCTTTCTGATACCCACTCCTATAAAGACTATTCTGGTTTTGTAACAGAAAAACATGCATTTTAAAGCTGCTCTGAAACAATATGTGTTGTGAAATGCGTTATACAAATAAATATGAATTAAACTGAATGAGCCATTGCATTGTTGTTGTATTGCATTTAGAAGATGGACCTATAAATATGACATATGTGACTATACAGTTGAATAGGTCATTGCACTGATTGCCCAATTGGAGGCGCAAAATCTCAGCTGTCCTTGAGGGTGCGTTAAAAGATTCATTAGAGGCTTTAATGTCTGAAAAGATTCAGACATTTTTACTGTACCATTTTGAAGTTATGGACCTATAAATTTGACATATATGACAATATAGACTTGAGCTATTGCATTCATGGCCCTATTGGGGGCGCTATATCTCAGCTGTCCTTGAGGGTGCGTTGAATGTTTCACTGGGGCCTTATTCCAAGGGCCGTTGACTGTTACCATGCAAATTTTCAGACATTTTTACTGTAGCATTTTGAAGTTATGGACCCATAAGTTTGGCAGATATGACTATACAATAGGAGAAATTGCATTATTGGCCCAATTGGAGGCGCTATATCTCAGCTGCCTTTGAGGGTGCGTTAAAAGTCATACTGTGGTCTTATTCCCAAGGCATATGACTGTGACCATGCAAATTTTCAGATATTTTTACTGTAACACTTTTAAGTTATGGACCCATACATTTGGCAGATATGACAATACGATAACAGGAGAAATTGCATCATTGGCCCAATTATAATACATGATCAAGATACATGATCTCTTTTGTTTTCTGCTATTAAATCAGGATTCACATTCAGTTCTCTGTTTTCTCCTCATTCATTCTGATGATGTCTGAGATCTTCTGTAAATTGGCACATTAAGCACATTTCGTTGTGTGTCAGCAGACTGAGACAAACTACAGGATCATCACTTTATGTGATAATTGTGTGTTTTTAATCTTTTACCCTGTAGATTAAAGTACATGTTTAAAAATACTATTAAAGGGTTAGTTCACCCAAAAATGAAAATTCTGTCATTAATTACTCACCCTCATGTCGTTCCAACTAGGCCATAAGGTGAACTGGAAAAAGTGGCTAGAACGTGATTTTCATTCCCACACCTGGGCACTACTTTTTCAATGCATTTTTGCAGACAACACCCTTTTGGACTTTAGGTTAAAAGTTCTCCACAAAATATCCTGCAGTTTTTTGTCACAATCCATAAATGTATATAATTGTGAATTGGAAAAAAAAAAAATCTTATGCTGCTGGTTTTGCTTGTAACTTTTTTTATATTTATTTTAGCAATGCAAAATATCTCTCAAACTGACATTTATACATGTACCTACATCTTTGAGACATGTATTGGTGCATTAGTATACTCAAGTGTGAATGCAGACCATGAAATATGGAAAATTCGCAGAAAAAACACTTCAACTACACGGAATGTCACCAAGCATAATTAAAGATACATATTGTAAATTTAACAAAATTGTGATGTTTTATACATGAAAATGTTCAGTAGGCACTGTGTAATCATAGAAAGAAAAAAAAAAAGTACAATCTGGCCCAATTTGGCTGAAATTACTCAAAATGCTACCTCACCCCCTTTAATTTTCAATAATGCCAAAAATGGACAACTCTACAATAGATTCATAACAGCTCAAAATCAGCCTAAAATATGACAGCACATCTTTACTCATCAGTATCATCACTATCACTCTCATCAGAGCTTCATCCCATGTATGTCTTTCCTCTGTTTTCTGGGAAACACTTGCACAATATTGGCACTGACATTAAGGTGACCAGACGTGCCACTTCTCGGGGACACGTACTTTGATGTCATACAACAATCATTCTGCGCCGCGCAAACAACCAACACCTGGTTATTTTAGGCAATTTACAAATCCTGTGCAGAACGTGTCCCCGGGAAGTGGCACGTCTGGGCACCTTAACCGACATAAATCAGTACAACACAGTCTTGGAGACATACAGGAACATCTTTCAGTCTCACATTTGCCTTGCTTGCAACTGCAGTGGACTACCTGCAACACACTTTCAGGGGCAAGATTTCTAGTCTTCCAGGTCACTGTCTCATTATGGCTGCTGCTTGGTAGTTTGCCCTTTTGCAGTGTTGGTACAGGGCATCAGTTGTTGGGGGCATGGATAGTTCTGGAAAAGCTGACGATGCCATGGAGCAAGGCTTTTGTATCTTGCATCGTGCACAGTTTCAGCAGATGATTGGCCATACTGGTGGCTCACATATTTGCAAAGTATTTCAAAGGTCGACTGGTCCAAGGTAAAACTGCTACCCAGATTTGTAAATGCAGTCAGGTAATCCTCTTTCTTTTGCCTTTGCCATAAAAGGCGCTTGTAGGGTCACAACCTGAGAAGGTATGGGTCACTGTGAAAGTTAAAATACACGGTGTATCAGCTTCTATGTGTTATAAAATATGATTATGACTATCATTATTATGAAATCCATTGTTGTGAGAAAAAAATGAAGATGTTGCATAAATGTTCTAACTAATCACACTATTACCGTCGTGTAGGACTTTTCACTGCATTTTGCGACGGGAGACACACACGGCAGTGCTCAACTGTGACGGCAAATAAAAGAGCTTCAACACCGCCATCGTCTGTTTGCACGTACAAATAATTAACTGCACTTGAAGCTTTCATAAAATTAAAAATTAAACACCCAAAACTGTACATGGCATCATCACGAAGACGAACTATATGTTTACGTGAAATTGCGGAGGGGACGTCGGATGGCGTCATGTAAGGACGTAATGACGTGTGCCATTAATCGAGCTATGTACTATAACATGTAAAACAGGAACGTGAAAGGAATATTCTAAAAGCAACTCATGTAAACACAGGCTTATTTAGAATAAGGTAAATAATTATATTACTGATGTCCAGTAGTCATTGTCAGCACCTCTTGGTTCACAATTTTTCTATGGCAGATGATTCTCTCACAGAAGATCTAGTAGCTGGCATTGAAGGTTGCCTAATACACGAAAGGTTGCCTAATACACATTAAAAACAGAAAAGACGTTATGTGCCATAATTATTTCACAATGGCTTTTATTTTAATATAGTATAAATAGTAGCAAATCAAAAGCAACTGACCAAGCGATTTAAGAAGCTTTTTTTTCTTCTTCAGAAGGAAAACACATTGGTTATGAATTATTTCTATTTCCTTTTACCTTCATGAACCGCTACACATTTTATCATATTGAATTACTGTGCCAAGAGTTGTGCAGTCAAGACTGTGTT